AACCCAGAAGAATGTCATCTTATTACGTGCAGCCATAAGAACCTGATATCTCTCCAAGAATTCTTTATTTTCATTTCTACAATTAAATCCGTAAAATGTTTTACTTTCTATGTATAAAGTGATTTCTCCCAGCTCTCTCAGGCCTGTGCCAGGGTTGTGTTTTGATGTAGGGTTATCTTCTCCCTTGTTTCGTCGCAGTCTAATCATCCGTAATTTTCAACCATATCCACACTTAGTTCTATCAGATCTTCATTTTATACAGTCGCCAAGTAATCAAAAAGACTTTTTAAGAGTATGCATAATGATTTTTTCTACTTACAAGGACGGTGTTGAGCATGCCGACGTAAATACAAATGAATTGTATTCTGTGAAGCGAATTTATGTAGAGTGAAAGACAAGTGAGCATAGTTTACACTAGTATGTCCGAGACGTTAGGCTGGCAATAATTAAGATATACATATATCAGATGGCTTTATTAATCGTGTTTTGTTTGTAAGCGGAAGAGTGATGGATCGTGTTTTGTTTGTAAGCGGAAGAGTACATGATGTCAGAGCAGTGAAATAATTGTTTGCATAATAATTTATTTAAATTATTTATTTATTTACGTGCCACTTTTATAGACAATTCAATGCAGCTAATAATAACAATTAAATTTATTATTTTTAGTGCTACATCAACAACAGAATGACCAAGAACAGATACAACACAAAACAAAAATTAATAAATGCAAACAAAATAACATTAAACAAAGTATAATTATGATTTCATAATTATACCACACAAAATAAAGTTCAAGCGAGAATACTAACAGAAAATTATTAGTATATAATGCGCTCAAGCGCCAACATTTCTGCACACTGTATTTTCTGAGGATACACATCCAGTGGATGTGCAACTCTTACCTGAAGAACCAACTGTATACAAAGGAAAATCTCTAAATGTCGCGGTTTCTAAAGTTTCGACCAAGAAGACAGAATTTATTATATTCTTTGAATATATTAACAAGAGAAGCATATCTAAGTGACGTCTCTTTAGGCGAAGGTTGTGGAAATTTATATATTTTAAATCACTCTGCAATAAGGTTGAGGTCAGAAACAACTGTAACAGTGAGATAAAAACATACCCTCAACGCGTTCAAGCTTGCTGACATCTGTATTACTTGAAATATTCCACGAAAAGGAAGAACATTTAAGTTTATATATACTTGAAGTGCAACATAACATGAAAGGACTATAAATGAGACGGAGAAAGTTTTAGCATGAAAAAGACCCAACAAGTTAAGAGCTTGTATAGACCATGTTCATCTTTTCAATGAACTGAGCGGTTGTTCATATTCCCACAAATAAGACGAAAGTTTTCCTTATGTTACGTGTTGGCATGAAGTTTCCTTTATACCAGCCCGGCTTTTTAACGTCGTAAGCTTCAGTACAAAGAGATATTAGTGTAAATTAATTTTTATTTAAAATTTCCAAGAATCGGTGTTGCGATATGGCGTAATAATTTGTTTTGGCTTTTAAATTTCGATATTTCAATTTACAAATTATTCCTAGTAATATTTACATACGAATCAAATACAAACTGTGTTATACTAACATATATCATAAGGGAAAAATGTGTAGCAAAAATAAGAATATATTAATTGGTATAAGAAGCTTGGGGGAAAAATGTGTAGCAAAAATAAAAATATATTAATTGGTATAAGAAGCTTGGCCTTATTGTGTTAATAACTTATATGTTCGATTTCGTTTCTGATTGTTCTATAGTTCAATGGAACTGGGAATGAAGGGTTATGTAATATTCTGTGAAACTAAATAAACATAGGCGGTGATTATGATATACCTTCATCATAGGTTTATCCGAGCGTGCCTTTACATTGTTCAGTTACTTGTGACATAAAATTTATATCAACGAAGAGTGTAACTAAATATATAATATCAGCCCAAAACGTGAAGAAAACCGAGAGTTGAGAAACAAAAAGAGATTATCTAAATGACAGTCAGTGATTTAAACCAAACAGTAAATCAATTAAAGGATTTTTATCACGAGCCCTAAATTAATATAAGAAGACATGCCAAAACAGGAAAGACTTTATAATGGTTGAAAACGGTGACCTGTTTCCTCAGCTCCATAGAAATGGAAACAGGTGAAAGAACTGTTCTAGTAAATTAGTGGACATTCCTGAAGCGGACTAACTTATAAAATCTGAAATGCATGCTGCTGAACTGTTGGATTTAAAACCAGATTTAGTATAGTTGGAATTATTATACCTTATTAAGGGGAGATACACAGGTATTAACACACGTACACAAGCTAGAATTATATTAAATGTACAGACATAAAATTCTTGTCCGAATATCATTACAAGTGAGAGAGAAGCAAATCATTTTTAAATATAAAGGTATACATATCCAAGATAACAGTTACTACACTGAAAGCAAGTTTCATATTTTTCCTTCTTTTTTCGTAAAATAGCGAGTAAACTGCGAAATCCAAAGAAAACTGGCCAGAAGTACAGTCTATCAAGTAACTGACAGAGCAGAGTTTTTCAATGGAAGGTAATGAATGTGAGTATATAGACAAGACACCGTATAGTACTATTGTTGTTTTGTAGCTGGTATTGTTGTAACCACAGCCCTTATAATATACACGGCTAGTCTAAATGATGTTCCAGATTGTTACATGTTACTCACGTTTAATGAAATTCAGATGCACAAAATTGGTACCGATCGAAAGAGAAACTCTCCAAGTTTATTGTTGGTATACTTCGCGGCCGCGTAGTAACACTGTTCGCCGCCAGGAGCGATATGAGAGAAAATGGCTGCCATCGAAGACAGGGGAGCTTTTGTGTTCTGGATTTCCACGTTCACCGGACCTGACGCCCTGTGATTTTTTTCTGTGGGGGTTCGTCAAAGATAGAGTATTCGTGCCACCCTTATCACAGACCTTGCTTGATCTGCGAGCGCGTATCACAGCAGTCATTGCAGCAATCGATCATGATATGCTGCAACGTGTCTGGGAGGAACTCGACTACAGGTTGGATGTGTGCCGAGTTACCAAGGGGGTTCACATTGAACATCTGTGATGTACTGAAACAAATCTTGGAGAGTTTCTCTTTCCATCGGTATCAATTTTGTGCATCTGAATTTCATTAAACGTGAGTAGCGTGTCTTTCAAATCGGGAACATCATTGTTACTTGTGACATAAAATTTATATCAACGAAGAGTGTAACTAAATATATAATATCAGTCCAAAACGTGAAGAAAACCGAGAGTTGAGAAACAAAAGAGATTATCTAAATGACAGTCAGTGATTTAAACCAAACAGTAAATCAATTAAAGGATTTTTATCACGAGCCCTAAATTAATATAAGAAGACATGCCAAAACAGGAAAGACTTTATAATGGTTGAAAACGGCGACCTGTTTCCTCAGCTCCATAGTAATGGAAAGAACTGTTCTAGTAAATTAGTGGACATTCCTGAAGCGGACTAACTTATAAAATCTGAAATGCATGCTGCTGAACTGTTGGATTTAAAACCAGATTTAGTATAGTTGGAATTATTATACCTTATTAAGGGGAGATACACAGGTATTAACACACGTACACAAGCTAGAATTATATTAAATGTACAGACATAAAATTCTTGTCCGAATATCATTACAAGTGAGAGAGAAGCAAATCATTTTTAAATATAAAGGTATACATATCCAAGATAACAGTTACTACACTGAAAGCAAGTTTCATATTTTTCCTTCTTTTTTCGTAAAATAGCGAGTAAACTGCGAAATCCAAAGAAAACTGGCCAGAAGTACAGTCTATCAAGTAACTGACAGAGCAGAGTTTTTCAATGGAAGGTAATGAATGTGAGTATATAGACAAGACACCGTATAGTACTATTGTTGTTTTGTAGCTGGTATTGTTGTAACCACAGCCCTTATAATATACACGGCTAGTCTAAATGATGTTCCAGATTTGAAACACATGTTACTCACGTTTAATGAAATTCAGATGCACAAAATTGGTACCGATCGAAAGAGAAACTCTCCAAGTTTATTGTTGGTATACTTCGCGGCCGCGTAGTAACACTGTTCGCCGCCAGGAGCGATATGAGAGAAAATGGCTGCCATCGAAGACAGGGGAGCTTTTGTGTTCTGGATTTCCACGTTCACCGGACCTGACGCCCTGTGATTTTTTTCTGTGGGGGTTCGTCAAAGATAGAGTATTCGTGCCACCCTTATCACAGACCTTGCTTGATCTGCGAGCGCGTATCACAGCAGTCATTGCAGCAATCGATCATGATATGCTGCAACGTGTCTGGGAGGAACTCGACTACAGGTTGGATGTGTGCCGAGTTACCAAGGGGGTTCACATTGAACATCTGTGATGTACTGAAACAAATCTTGGAGAGTTTCTCTTTCCATCGGTATCAATTTTGTGCATCTGAATTTCATTAAACGTGAGTAGCGTGTCTTTCAAATCGGGAACATCATTTAGACTAACCCTGTATTGACACTCGTTGACCTAAGAAATAAACGAAAGGAAACGATCAAATGGAGACGTTTACTGTGACAGTAGGTCTGGGGCCAGTTGCCTCAATTCACACCTAACAGAAAGGAAAGCTGAAGAAGGAAGCGTAGAAAGAGAGAAAGGCAGAATGGAGGAATATAAAGATATATAGACATAAAGGGAAAACGAGAGAAGAAAAAAGATAATTTTGACGCTATTGAATAAAAGGTTAGTAAGAACGAAAAATAAAGTGGAAGGAAGGAAACGAATGTGTGATGGATGATGAGATGAAGGAAAAAAGAAGAAAAGCGAAGAAATCGAAAGATACAAAGAAAGGCATAGAAAGAGTATGGGATAGAAGATGGACAAATTGAAGAAGTGGTGAAAGGAAGAGATAAATGAAAACCAAGCAATTCTAAGTAAACAAAGAGAGCGATGAGATGTGAGGTTTTGACAGCTGTGACAGATCTGATTGTGATTTTTCTGGGTTACAGTACACTGTGTCACGGTCCAGAAGACTACTTTGTGAAGAGGAAATGGTGTAAGAACTAAGCGGCAGAAGACGCAGCCAAGCTACAACAGTGCCAAGGAGGTAGGAGTTCGATTCGTTTGTACCACGTGCGACAGGAACACCGAAGTCTATGATGCCAAATTTACATATTCGTTTGTACCACGTGCGACAGGGACACCGAAGTCTATGATGCCAAATTTACATTCGCGCGACTCAGTCTGCATTTACAAACGCGGTTCTACTGGCTGAATCAAGACAGTGTAATCAATTCTTTTATAAAATGAAGCTACTTAATATAAAAGACAGGTAAATAAAGTCTGATGTAGAGGAGTGATGCTGAAAAGTGACATTTTATACAGTTTTAAAATCGTATTTTGTTTACTGTCTCTTGCATGAAAAGCTTTAAACAAACTTTACTATTTAGTCGACTTCGTACTCATTTAAATGCGGGTAATATGTGAAAGGACTAATAAATAAATTTGCTTTATGTCAACTCGAGAGCAATACAAACATCACTTTTTTTATGACGATGGACAGGTTACCACGTGGCTGATACTGTGCAACATTGAATATTTTACATCATTATCTGCTGCTTATGATTACACGAGTCCTTTAAAAGTGTCTTCATAGATTATGGAAACATTTTTCGAAATGAAGATGCTGGCAATATTTATATTAATTTTCTCTTTTCTTGATATATTCTCTCTTCACAGATCAAAGTATTTTGAGTAAATAAACATTTTCCTGTTTTCAGTATAACTAATTTAAAATGTTGCTTCACTGTGAGTTTGTAATTCAAATTGTGATTTCTTTTTGTAGACGAATGTTTGGATTTGAGACGACGAAACCATGTGTTCTGAGTGCAGGAATAAATTACATTGCGTCTCCAACTGCGAATGGGAAATGTGTTAACATTGGTTGACACTCTATGTTCATAGAAGTATGAAAGACAATGTAAGATGAATCTGACAACACTTACTGTGAAATAGGAAGGTACGGCGGACGATGAGAGAGAAATCGCCCTAGCATTCATATGAAAGCAATACAATAATGTTAGACACGTGATATTCCTTTGTAATACCCAGCATAAATGAATAGAGACTAACTACTATGACATTGTTAATCATTCTTATTATTTTCAGTATTGAAGTTCATACTTCTGCTCGCCTGAGCTTTAATACCAGTTGCATATTTTATATGGAACTATGATTTTACCGAACAGTTTGGTACAGCGGTAACTTTTATTATCGACCTGCCTTATTAAACTCTTTATAGCCTCTTTTGTGGAAGCAGTTTCCTTATATAATCTAAGAATAAAACAATCTTACTAAAATTTAATTGAAATATTCTACATCAGAAATGAATATGTAACTGCTTCGTGTGTTGATCTAGCACTTTGTTCTGTGGGAAGCACGCTAGAAAATTGAATTATTATTCCTTCTCTCTTTCAACTGACTACGAGAATTGTAAATTAAATTCAAGCTTCTCTGACACTCTTCCTTCATGTGGGAGTTCAGATATGCATAGTACTTCATTTTGACAATAAAGTCAATAAGACGTTTTATACTTTAGTAGAAAATGTAAGATTATCCTTGGGGAAATATAATTTAATTTTTGTAGTAAAATTCATGTAACACAAGTATAAGCGATGGATGACAAGTCGGAGAGTTATATTCAAATACTTCCATATCAGAATTTATTCCACTGATTTATAAGTTATCATACACGCAAAATCATCAAAATACGTTTAATAAATGTCTGATTCGATAACGGACGTTACAGAAAATAAGTCTTTTTTCAATCTCATTTTTAAGAGGTCAATTTGAAGCAGAAAACGAGTACAGAGAAGCAGAATTTATGACCAAAAGTTTGACAGACTATTGTCGCCTACTATCTACTATAGGGTGTTGCTACTCACACACCTCTCAATGCAAGTAGCAATCAGGGACATATTAACAACGGTGATTTAATAACTGTTATTCATACATCACCGTCACCACCAGTTATTGGATGTCTGAAGTAGTCGTAGTTCAAGCCCTTGTTTAATTCCACTGGCTGTACAGTAGAATCCGAGGAGTGGGAAGTAAGTCGTTTCCAGACAAACGGGGTTATAGATAGCGTATTTGCCACGTATATAGTCTGTCTCTAGTCTCCATAATGGAAACACAATTTAAACATATTACATGATAACACAAGTTATCTGAGTTCTTCCAAATTTGCCAAATATACGTATATCGTGTTCAGAGAAATGCAAAATGCCTCTCTCAGACCATCGTTTCCAGGTTTTAAATGACACGAGCAGTACTTTATAGACTTATGGTAGTGTTAATAATATCGTAGGCAGGAGAATAGTCACTGCATAACAAATGTGGTTATGAAAGATTGGGAGAGATGGAGTAAATTAGCAATTAACGAATCAATGAATAATTAATTACTGAATTTAAGACGAATATGTACGTGTTAGTCTTTGAAGGTACTGTCGTCTGGAGGACTTGAGGAAAAATGATTTTATTATGTAGCAGGCGACTTGTTAGCTTTACGAACATGCATTACAATAGTATTTATAATACACAAATTCTATACTTCAGGCAGTCCTCTGCGGCAAGTGAAGGCAATTATGTACGTTGTAGACTTAGATTTTCTAAACTTACTTAGTCGCAAGTGATTTTGCCAATACAATTATTACTGTGAATGTAGCATCGTATAATTGAGTTTTTCTGCTTTTTTGTACAGGAATCCACACGAAGACTTTAAAGTGGAAGTGAATAACTGGCAGGAGATAAAGCAGAATTTATATTGAAATCCCGGATCTGATTAATATCTACACAGATATCGACAGCCTTGGCTTCAGAGATTGAAGTCTCCAAATCAATATCACATAACTACATTCAAAGGAAGATACTTTTTAAAATATGAAAAGAAGCACGCTTGTATGTTCTATCGACATTTTCTAAATTAAAACTAATCTTTTTTATTATATCGATTCATTCTATTCAAACGTTTATAACTTTTTAGATATTTAAAGATATATTTATTAAAACCTGTATAATAGATGCTGGTTTCGTAGTGCACGTGGTATTTCTAAACTATTTGTTGCTTCTCCTTGTTACCTTCGAAGTGAGTTTATTTTAAATAATATTATTTCTGTCTTATATATTCTAACAAGATATTACTTATGTATTACTTACACTAATCTGCATTCATCTTCAACACAACAGGACAGATTAAAATTAATTCACTGAAAGAAACGAATACTAATCATATCCAATATATTGATGTTAAGAACCAAAGGTTGTGACGTCATATATTATTTATATTATTTACTACGCCATAGTTAAAAACCTTGTAAACAATAAACATCCATTTACGTCATTCAGCGTGTTTTCTCTTACAAACCGATACACAACAGCAACAGAAAAAATTGTGAGGGGAAAAAGGAGTTAGAAATATAAGAAAGAATTTACATCCAAGTGTATTCTTTAATTACTTGATTTGAAATAGAGAATATAATGACTATAATAATGGTAAGAACAAAACTGTAATGGAATCCTTTTTGAAGTGCATTGAAATTCCGAGAGCGTTTTTCACCCCACATCGTAGCCGTTGAGGTTGTTCGGGCGATCATAAGCAAGAATGGTGTTTAAGGTTGTGTTAAAATAATGAGATTCGAGGTTGTTGTTGCAACAATTTTACCCAACAGCGAATTCCGTGCATATTGTTGCATTAATGTGTTCTGGCAATTACCATGGCGCACACAGCGGTGACAGTGTGTTTGTACAATAACCTGGGCCACACCGTTGCAACCAGGACGCTGGAAGCTGGAGCCTGTCTAGGCCTGCAAGCCAAGACACGAGAGAGGAGATACGTGAGACCAGCTAGTGATAATGAATTCTGGGGAAATTTCTGTCTTCACGGGTGGTATTTCCAATCTTGGGGAGCCCTTTGTGGAGGAAGCCGGACTTAGTCAATGATTTGCAGGTTCTGGATTTCGTCTTGCTGGAAGCTGGAGCCTGGCTAGGCCTGCAAGCCAAGACACGACAGAGGAGATACGTGAGACCAACTAGTGATAATGAATTCTGGGGAAATTTCTGTCTTCACGGGTGGTATTTCCAATCTTGGGGAGCCCTTTGTGGAGGAAGCCGGACTTAGTCAATGATTTGCAGGTTCTGGATTTCGTCTAGCTATGTAATAGGCCAAGTGACAACTAGCAGTCCGTCGATGGCTAGCCCCGTGTTTTCTAACCCCTACAGTTTGTAGTCTAATGGCTTCCAAACACAGCAAAAGCAAAGATAAGGAATTTAAGTAAAAGTGGGCAAGGGGGTGAGAGGTGAGGCCTGTTGGGCAATGTCCCCGAAGTAGCAAGCACTCAGAGTAAGAAGGCTGTAGGAAAGCCAGGTTTCTGAAGCTGTGGGGGAGTCAACGCCGGTTTGTGGTAAGATTTGGGTGTAAGGAAGTTTCTGGGATTTTGAGGTGAAAACGTCTTTAAAATCGATGCCGGGTGAGGGGAGGCAATCGCGCCCAAATGACCGACAGTTTCTGTCGAAATAATTTCAAACTTCAATAACTCGGCTAAAAATAGACATAGCTCCGCCATCTTAGTCTCGTTTTAAAGAGGAAGGATGAAAGTTTGTGCCAGTACCGCTCCGACATTCGTGGCGGCCGGACGTCGCGAACTGCGCACGCGCAAAGTGAACCCA